CCCCCCCCAAAAAAAAGCCCGATTGGAGGATCCCCGAAACAAATTCTGGAAACATTGTCTAACTTTTGAAGCGCCACTCAGAATCAGATGGCTTGACGCAAAATCTCGTAACCTGACCACGCTTATGGTTTCTTAAATGGTCGAGATCAGGGGCAGGTCCAGAGGGAATATTGCGCTTGACCTGCGGTACCTTTACTTTCCCGGGGCAATTAGGCCATGTTGATTTGATTATATGGATGGGGTACAGGTCGAATCGCCCCATGTCACTTTCGCCCCGTCTATTTACTACCAGATCGCCCCATGTTTATGTGACCTGAACTATGTTTTATTCATGTGATATTCGCGTATTTTGGTAACATTTATATTCTCTAGATGTTACCAAAGCCTTGTGACTATATTTTGAATGTTTCTCCTGCGTTCGGCAAGATTTGACGCCGATGAAAAGTCCGGCTCCGCGGCGGGCCGACACGCGATCGGGCCCGCCACCGAATCGCAGACCGGCAGCTGCTGTTTGTGAAAACACTAGAGTTATGGCAAGATTTATCAAGAAATCCAACATAACAGAACCCCATAAATGTTCACAAACACGAAGTAGATGAGTAATTGTTGCAGAGTTTCTTAGAAGTCTACTAAATGTGCGTTACAGCAAGCAGGCGCCCCCGAATGCGGCGGCGGGTCAGGTCGCGTGTCGGCCCGCCGCGTACCCGGACTTTTCATCGGGGATTCGGCGGTTAACAAATAAGAAACATTCAAAATATAGTCACAAGGCTTTGCTAATATGTAAGGAATATTTAGAAGTAGGATTCATGCGTATATCACCCGATTAAAACATAACATTGGTCACTTAAACATGGGGCGATCTGGTAGTAAATAGCTGGGGCGAAAGTGACATGGGGCGAAAGATCTAGAAACCTATGGATGACATCCGCGCGCGCATGAATTTTCGGCCGTTTCCAAAAAAAAAAAAAGTTTTCAACCATACTGTAAATCGTACAAAACAGTTGCAAAATGAGCAAAAATATACCGTAAGTTACAAAAAAAATAAGTAAAATCTATACCAATGTCGTAGAATGCCAAAATCAAACGAAAAAAGACGAAATTGTAAGGAAATGAACTTGAAGATTAGATTATTCGCCAAACCATATTCTGTCCCATTTGTTCAACCCTCATGACCACGTAGATTTCATAATGAAAACTAACTTTTTTTTTTTGTCAAAACTTTTTTTTTATTCGCACGCGCGCATCAGTTTTGGGGCTCCCGGAGGATGTCATCCATATGATCAAATCAACATGGCCTTACAAGCAGTCGCTGACCAAAAAGTGTTAAACTCTACTCTTTAAATTTACTTGTTATCGATTTTCCTGGTCTCCACGGAATCTGCAAGCTACAAAGTTCGTCATATGAAAAAAAAATACAGAACATGATGATGCACAAACTCCAAAATTCGTCATATGAAAAAATACAGAACATGAATAATGCACAAACTGTCACATTACTAACATATTTTCTTGTTTCCAAGGAGCTTTCATCACAAACTTGTTGAACATGCTTGTTTGATCTTAGCGTTTCCGTTTCCAAAATGGCGCCTGCTCCTTCATCCACACACGTGACTGGCAGTGACCTTTGACATACCGTGACCTTTGACCTCATGAATATTAATTAGTAATTAGCTCGCGGAGCGTGGGTTAGCAGTCACGGCCGGCGTCGGTAGCAGGAGTGAGCGAACTATTTTTAAGTCAGTATTGACCGCGATAGAGGCCACAGATTGTGCAGTCAACTCCACAATATGAAGACTGAAGACCCGTATTGAGCGCTAGCCTTCCATGCCCACAGGTATCTGCTTATTCCTTTGACGATTATTCTTGGAATCTTGGTAACAAATTATGTTATGTGTTATGGCTGCCGTTGCTTCAGGGCGCGGGCGCGGTTACGTAGTTGTGCTTCCTGATTCTCCTATATATCATTATGAGTACATTTAACGTAACAAGTTTTATGTTGTTGCCACAAGAAACAAAATATCAGTGAGTTGTAATGCATAATATTGAGTGATATCGCGACTTAACTGCAGCACAAATTTGTGTACATTATGTAGTATATTTCGACGTTCCGAGTCGGTTTCCGAACGTTCATAATATATTCCAAAGTTGGACTCAACACCATGAATGTATTACATTATGTAGCTTCTATATAATAGTGAAAAGACCTTACGAAATGTAAAGAAAAGGTTCGTTTGTGGGTAGTTACTAGTAGCTTGGTATGAAGTTTACCGTGCCGTCCCGAAATGGTGACTTTCCCGTTCGCGCCACGCCGTCCCGAAATGGTGACTTTCCCGATCGCGAGCGATCGCGCCACGCCGTCCCGAAATGGTGACTTTCCCGTTCGCGCCATGCCGTCCCGAAATGGTGACTTTCCCGATCGCGCGAAGCTGGTCCTTAGTGGTGACATTCCCTTACCGTTACCGTACGGGAGTGGGTACCTCCAGGTGGAGAGTCTCCCGTACGGGAGTCCGTACCTCCAGGTGGAGAG